ACGGCGGGCCCAGGAGAGCGTGGCCTGGAGAGGGCCTGGACGTGAATGAAGCGGAGCAGAAGCTGCCGTGTCCTGAGTCCTGCGCACTAGGACAGTGCGATGGGACGGTGGGTACAGAAGCATCCCCTGCGCTCAAGGGCTTTCAGGCCAAAAAGCAGCAGCCAAAACCCACGAAGGCGTTAAACATGGAAACGCCGGGCAGTGTTGCGGAGCGAGTGCCAAAGGCGCTGCAGACCGGGAAAAAAAGAGCTGCTTTGCAGCAGAATTTGGAGACAGAAGGAGAATCTGGGCTGCAGGGAGTCTGATTTGAATGAGAGCACCAAGATGCTGCTGATGGCAGAAGTGGAAGAGCAAATACCATCAGGAACGAGGGAGCGGGCACCAGCACGGGGTGAGGGGCTGCAAGGGGGCATTTGGGAGCAGCGCCAGAGGCAGCAGGAGATTCTCAGTGCAGCAGTGGGGAAAGAGGGAGCAAGGGCCAGGGACATGAAGCGAGGAGGAAGTAAGCAGGGAGAGACGGTCAAGGAGGATGGGGAAAGGGTGAAGAGAGACTGTAGCTCAGTGGAGCTCCCACCCGGTACCCACTCCTTTTCCACAAGCAGCTATGGGACTTTTTCACCCCTGAGTTCTTCAGAATCTCCCTTCTTCCTCCCCCCACCAAGAAATACAAATAAAAATAATATTTAAAATAGTGTCTGCAGCCGCAGCAAGAGCGGGCCCAGGAAACAGAGAGATCCCACGCCCAGCCAAAGGGCAGGAGCTGCAGACCCTGGAACCCTCCACCAGCACGAGTAGAGCTCAGGCCTTCCCCACCACCCCCCAGACCCACACCCTTAGCTGTGGGTAGCTGTCAGCTGTCGCCTGTCTTCACTCCACAGCTTCACACCAGTCCCCAGCTCTGCACAGGAGCCGACCCAGGTGTGGCCTTCCCAGGAACCACCAAGCACTGCTAGCGCTTGTGCAGAACTTAATGAGTCATTAGCTTAAGGAGTCAGGAGCGTGGGAGGGAGGGACAGAGCCTGGCAAGAGGCAGCTGGGTCTCATCTCGCATTAGGATGCGCCAGCCCAGGGGGACGTGGTGCTCTGATGAGCAGCGGTGCTGGCAGGGAGCAGGTCACTGCAAACCTGTCACCTGCTGGTGACAGCACTGGTGCCTCCCAGGGGAGCTGAGCAAAGGCAGTGAGGGCGCTGCTGTGACCTGAGCAGCGATTTCCCAAAGTGACTCATCCTCCCAGGCTACACGAGCTGCTCCCTGTGCTGGGGCTGCTCCTTTGCTGCAACATTAAAAAGGCCAAGACTTGGGAAAAGCAAAAACTCCATGGAGGCAGCACCGCCCATTCCAAGGCAAAAGGAGGGGATTTGTCAGGAAGAGGGGCTGGCTGCTGCTCCTGGAGCGCTTGTGCATCTGCCCCAGAGCAGGACTTGCGGGAATTTTCAAGGGAATTGTGCTTGTCATGGGGTATGTGGTGGCAGCAAAACCTTTGCATTTTTAAATGTTTTATATATACATATATGTATACACACTAAAAAACTGCAGCACTCCCATCCACCTGGGGCAGGTAAGGGCCCTTGGAGCAGGTTTTGCAGTGGATCTGGCCAAGCCTAGCTATTGATTTGAGATTTGAACCTTCCTCAGTTTGGGGGGGCCTTATGAGACATGCTGCAAATGGACTTATCAAAGTCCATTTGCAAAACAGAGTTCCTGCCTTGCCCGCTCCCCTGCTGGTGCCACCCTGCCTGCCCTGTCACTTGCCTGCGGGACCCCGTGGCAAGGGCTGAACTTGCCCCTCTCTGCAGCAGGGGAGCCCCGAGGGACTTTGCAGGGGCAGCCCCAGGGGCACAGGACTCAGCAGGGAGCTGAAACCAGAGGCTCCAGCAGCAGCTTCTGGCCCAACACCGAGGAGATGAGAGGCGCCGGCATCCTTCTATCCCATCTTTATTTACAGGGAGGGCGAGACCAGTATTTCACCCTGGGAGCTCTCCAGGCCGAGGGAAGCCCCAGGAAGCCTCACCAGAGCCCCAGGGCTCCAGCCCCTCTTCCCTAGGGCAATGCGCTGCAGTAACTCGGCCAGCGCCAGCTGGAACCTGTCCGGAAGTGTCTGCAGGTTGTGAGGTGACAGGGAAACCGCTGGTTAAAATCAAAGCCTGCCTCTGGTGCCCTTGGGGCTAGGGCACGGCGGGAACTGGATTTCTGAGCTCTTGGCCGTGCAGAGCCAAGAGTCTCTCTGGGAGGAGAGAAGCTCTCACAGGAGCAAGACTAAGGGTACCAGCTCTGGGCCTGGTGGGGTGCAAGATTAACCCTGCAAAGCAGCTTTGCCAGGGCAAGCTGGTCCCAGAGGAGTTTTGCTGGTTCCTGTCCCACCCTGTGCCATTCATGGTGTCACACTACCATGTTAGGGGAGCCCAGTTCTCACTCTGAGCAGGGACACTGTGTCCTTCACCTGCACACGGTGGGAGAGCCTTCCTCACCCAACTTGCCCTGTCTGAGAGCAAAACCGTTTCAGGTGGGGAATGGCAGAGCCACCACCAGCCCAACCTCTGGTCTTGAGCCGTGGGCACTGGCAGGAGTTCCAGCATGCCCACGGCCGCTCCAGAAGGGCCCTCCCTGTGGGTGCCATCCCCATGCAAGCCAGGCATCAAGGCTGCTACACATGGGACTACGCTGAGGTGACCACAGCTCCAGCATGGCCAGGTCCTGGCTGGAGGGGCCGCACCGGACACACCAGCCATGGCCCAAGGGTGCTGCTCAGGCCCGGGATGCAGAGGTCTTCAGGGGACATGCTGCACATAATTTTTTCCAAAATCCCAGTGGCTGCAGTAGCTGCCTGGTAAAACCAGGCTGCTCAGACCTGAACAACAACAGGAAGAGGCAACCCCAGCCCAGTCCCCAAGTCCCTGCCACACTCAGCCTGTCAGGACCACTGCCCAACAGTCCCCCACGAGGGAGATCGCTGCAAAGTGGCTGTCAGATGTTCTTTGTTTCACCTACGAGGTGAGGATCCTGATCCCCAAATCTCCCAGGACCCTCTTCCAGCCCCCTCCTGGCAACACCGAGCCTGGCAAATACCTTGTGGCAAGTAATTTTACGTTATTCTGCATTTACACAAAAATAGAGCAATTCTATATTTATAGAGATTTATAGCCGGTTCCGTGCTGGAGGAGTTACTGAGCAAGGCCGGGAGCTGCGAGCGGTCCGGGCTCCCGAGCGGCCGGCTGCTTCTCGATGGGCATTTCCAACATACAAAATTAAAGGCATTCGTCTCCGTCTGGTTTCTTAAATAGATAAGGGGGGGATGGAGAGACAGTATGTACAGAGCGGCCCTGCGGCCCCAGCCCCGCGCTGGCCGCCCGGCGTCAGTGGGGCCGGCTGCTCGACTCTGAGGGCTGCCGCTGGCGGGGGGGAGTGTAGCCGTTCAGGTAGCCGTTGCTCTGGCGCTTGCTGAGTCCTCCGTTAAGAATGTCCTGGATGTGCTGCACTATCAGGTTTATGGCCACTGCGAGCAAAGACAGAGGGGAGGATGGTGTTAGGATCGTCTTGAATAAATTGGAGACAGGTCAGAGAAAACAAGGCGGCTGTGACCCCCCTCCCCTCCTCACAGGGCACCTTTCCCCTCCTGGTATCGGCGTCATCTCTGCCAGGACATAATGGCAGGCTCTGGGTCTGCTCACCTTCGTTATCTGCTCCTCTGGGAATGATCACGTCAGCGTACTTCTTGGTCTGGGAGGAAAGAGAGAACAGAGTTACAGGGAAAGCAGAGAGCTGCCATGCTGGGCCATCATTCCCGCTCTGCAGGGCATCCCTCCTCCTCTTCCTCCTCCTGTCAAGCCCAAACCTGCCAAGACATATGTTAGTGCGATGGCTGCATTTTGGATGCTCTTATTTGCCTTCTGATCTATGTTTTGAGGGCCATGCTTTGCGCCTTGACTCTATTTCCATGAGCTCAAACAAATTCCAGTAAGGGACAGATCACCCTAATAAAACCTGAAATTAAAAAAAGCCTCATGATCACAAGACTCCAAGTGTAGATGCTTTTGGGAACAACCTCCTCCCTGCATGACTTGGCACACAAACAAGACCTGGCATGTTGGAGCTGTGTGGACATGTGGACAGGGGCATTTTCTGCCAGCAATATTGGCAAAAAAGATCCACTTCAGGATGCCAGTCCTGCCTATTTTCGCCTGTAGATGCCATAGCAGTTTCCTCCCCGTTTCACACTTGCTTTTATAGCCGATCAGCTTCCTGACGGCCACGCTGCAGCATGAGCCAGCGTGCTGGGCCAAGGCTGTCACCCAACAGCTCCGGGTGCTCCCAGCTACAGGAAAACCCCCAGGACAGTGCGGTTTTCAGTGCTGAGCTGCCAGGTGCAGAGCTGGGTAACAGGAACTGGAGAGGCTGAGCGTGCTCTGCACCTGTGTGCAACTGTTGTGTGGCCTGGCCCACCACCAGCTCGGAGACGGAGCAGATCACTGCAGAGCCAGCGGCCGGGGATCTGTTTCACCCTTGTTTCACCCTCCTATGGACTCTTCAGGAGTGGCGTTGCATCCACTGCTTTGCAAAGCTGCACATTTACCTTGCTGGGGACTCAAGAAGGAGGCCTGACACCCAAAACTGGACCTCAATTCCCAGAGCCACATCGGCACGAGATAGGGAAGAGGGTGCTACTTGGGAACGTGGGCACCTTCTGAGGTCCACAAAAACAGATCTCTCGCCACAGAAAAAATCAGCTCTTATTTTGGGAAAGGACACAGCCAGCCACAGTGATACCTCCATGGATAAGGCTTGAGGCTGGAGGTGCAGGTTCAATTCCTACCTGTGCTGCTGGCTACCACTCCCCCAGCTGCAGCACTTTGCTGGCTCAGCCTCTCGAAGAAAAGAAATTTTCTGGTAACTCCCTCCCCTGCTTCCAAAGCCTTAAAACCCAAGGTGCAGCCTCCGCTCCACGAGCGCAGCAGCCCGGGGAGGTTTGCAACAACTGGTCGTGCAAACTTGCTGCTCCCTGGGGCTGCAGTGGCCTTCCAGGTGCAAAATCCCTGTCTGGCAGGGCCCCTGCCTCCCACCCCGGCTTCAGCCGGCAGCACCCAAAGGATGTCCCTTCCCCGACCCCGTGGTCCAGCATCTCTTGAGCTGCCTGGTGTTGGTTTGGCAGGGCCTGCGCAGGGAGGGGTGTTGGATGCCTCTCTGCAGGGAACAGTGATCTCACCAGGAAAGCAGTGGCCATATAAACAGTCCCCATCTCGCCCTGCGGCCAGCACCCACCCCTCCACCTTCGGGCTCTGCCAGCACCCGCGAGGCCCAGGCCACAGCTCCTGACTGGGGGCGGGAGGGACGGGCAACAAGGCATTTTTGTCATTTTTGGCAGGCTCCGATGTGTGTCCCTCCCCTTGTACTTACTGGCAAGCAGAACTCCTCAAAGGCAGGCTTGACGAAGGTGATGTACTGAGACAAGATCTGCTCGAGGTCCCTGCCTCGCTCGCTGATGTCTCGTAGCACTGCAGGAAGGAGGGAGGCACAGTCAGGAGCCAGGACATGAACCGCTGTCCCCCTCGCCTGACGTACTGGCCTTGACCACCCTGCCCTGGGCACATGCCCCCAGGTCCCTGCTCCTCGGAGCTGCTGCCCACACATCCAAGCACATCCCAGCCCAGCATCACGTTCCCCGGCCACTTCCAAGCCTTCCTGGGAGCCAAGGAGCAGCAGACTGACCAGGGGCTTCTTTTGGACCTTCCTCCCTTTTCTGAGCTCTCCAAACACACTCCAGCATAACCAGTGCCCCCCAGGTGTCCCAGGCTGTCCCTCCACCCTGGCTATCCAAGATGAGACTCTCTGCTCTCAGCATAGGCATCAGCTCTTCCAGACAGTCCAGCAGAGAGGTGCCTGGGGAGCAGAAAAGCTGAGGGTTTTGCACCGCACACGCTTCAAGGCACTGTCCAACTCCGTCTGCAGAGTTGCAGGGTGGCGCTCACCCGCCGGCTCTGCTGCGCCTCCTCACGCCGACTGCCCGGGGCCCTGCACCCTGCGTGCACAGGGGATTTCTCCAGCACTGGCTGGAAGTCACTTCCGCACGGGCAC